GGGGCACACGTGAGGAACACAAATGCGAACAAGCCTGAATGGTCCCCAGGACAATATGCAACTGAAAACTCACACCCCAGAAGTGACTCGAACCCATACTCCCAGGAGCAACGCAACTGGTATGTACAAGACGCCTTAATCCACTTGACCATCACGACCGGACAAAATGAGGTGATAGCCGAGGCTATTTGAACCACCCCACCGCCGGCACTCGGATAGTAATCTTGGGCATAGCATTTTACCAAATCACCTCATTCTTTGGGGCACACGTGAGGAACACAAATGCGAACAAGCCTGAATGGTCCCCAGGACAATATGCAACTGAAAACTCACACCCCAGAAGTGACTCGAACCCATACTCCCAGGAGCAACGCAACTGGTATGTACAAGACGCCTTAATCCACTTGACCATCACGACCGGACAAAATGAGGTGATAGCCGAGGCTATTTGAACCACCCCACCGCCGGCACTCGGATAGTAATCTTGGGCATAGCATTTTACCAAATCACCTCATTCTTTGGGGCACACGTGATGAACACAAATGCGAACAAGCCTGAATGGTCCCCAGGACAATATGCAACTGAAAACTCACACCCCAGAAGTGACTCGAACCCATACTCCCAGGAGCAACGCAACTGGTATGTACAAGACGCCTTAATCCACTTGACCATCACGACCGGACAAAATGAGGTGATAGCCGAGGCTATTTGAACCACCCCACCGCCGGCACTCGGATAGTAATCTTGGGCATAGCATTTTACCAAATCACCTCATTCTTTGGGGCACACGTGAGGAACACAAATGCGAACAAGCCTGAATGGTCCCCAGGACAATATGCAACTGAAAACTCACACCCCAGAAGTGACTCGAACCCATACTCCCAGGAGCAACGCAACTGGTATGTACAAGACGCCTTAATCCACTTGACCATCACGACCGGACAAAATGAGGTGATAGCCGAGGCTATTTGAACCACCCCACCGCCGGCACTCGGATAGTAATCTTGGGCATAGCATTTTACCAAATCACCTCATTCTTTGGGGCACACGTGAGGAACACAAATGCGAACAAGCCTGAATGGTCCCCAGGACAATATGCAACTGAAAACTCACACCCCAGAAGTGACTCGAACCCATACTCCCAGGAGCAACGCAACTGGTATGTACAAGACGCCTTAATCCACTTGACCATCACGACCGGACAAAATGAGGTGATAGCCGAGGCTGTTTGAACCACCCCACCGCCGGCACTCGGATAGTAATCTTGGGCATAGCATTTTACCAAATCACCTCATTCTTTGGGGCACACGTGAGGAACACAAATGCGAACAAGCCTGAATGGTCCCCAGGACAATATGCAACTGAAAACTCACACCCCAGAAGTGACTCGAACCCATACTCCCAGGAGCAACGCAACTGGTATGTACAAGACGCCTTAATCCACTTGACCATCACGACCGGACAAAATGAGGTGATAGCCGAGGCTATTTGAACCACCCCACCGCCGGCACTCGGATAGTAATCTTGGGCATAGCATTTTACCAAATCACCTCATTCTTTGGGGCACACGTGAGGAACACAAATGCGAACAAGCCTGAATGGTCCCCAGGACAATATGCAACTGAAAACTCACACCCCAGAAGTGACTCGAACCCATACTCCCAGGAGCAACGCAACTGGTATGTACAAGACGCCTTAATCCACTTGACCATCACGACCGGACAAAATGAGGTGATAGCCGAGGCTGTTTGAACCACCCCACCGCCGGCACTCGGATAGTAATCTTGGGCATAGCATTTTACCAAATCACCTCATTCTTTGGGGCACACGTGAGGAACACAAATGCGAACAAGCCTGAATGGTCCCCAGGACAATATGCAACTGAAAACTCACACCCCAGAAGTGACTCGAACCCATACTCCCAGGAGCAACGCAACTGGTATGTACAAGACGCCTTAATCCACTTGACCATCACGACCGGACAAAATGAGGTGATAGCCGAGGCTATTTGAACCACCCCACCGCCGGCACTCGGATAGTAATCTTGGGCATAACATTTTACCAAATCACCTCATTCTTTGGGGCACACGTGAGGAACACAAATGCGAACAAGCCTGAATGGTCCCCAGGACAATATGCAACTGAAAACTCACACCCCAGAAGTGACTCGAACCCATACTCCCAGGAGCAACGCAACTGGTATGTACAAGACGCCTTAATCCACTTGACCATCACGACCGGACAAAATGAGGTGATAGCCGAGGCTATTTGAACCACCCCACCGCCGGCACTCGGATAGTAATCTTGGGCATAGCATTTTACCAAATCACCTCATTCTTTGGGGCACACGTGAGGAACACAAATGCGAACAAGCCTGAATGGTCCCCAGGACAATATGCAACTGAAAACTCACACCCCAGAAGTGACTCGAACCCATACTCCCAGGAGCAACGCAACTGGTATGTACAAGATGCCTTAATCCACTTGACCATCACGACCGGACAAAATGAGGTGATAGCCGAGGCTATTTGAACCACCCCACCGCCGGCACTCGGATAGTAATCTTGGGCATAGCATTTTACCAAATCACCTTACCATTCAGTTGCATATTGTCCTGGGGACCATTCAGGCTTGTTCGCATTTGTGTTCCTCACGTGTGCCCCAAAGAATGAGGTGATTTGGTAAAATGCTATGCCCAAGATTACTATCCGAGTGCCGGCGGTGGGGTGGTTCAAATAGCCTCGGCTATCACCTCATTTTGTCCGGTCGTGATGGTCAAGTGGATTAAGGCGTCTTGTACATACCAGTTGCGTTGCTCCTGGGAGTATGGGTTCGAGTCACTTCTGGGGTGTGAGTTTTCAGTTGCATATTGTCCTGGGGACCATTCAGGCTTGTTCGCATTTGTGTTCCTCACGTGTGCCCCAAAGAATGAGGTGATTTGGTAAAATGCTATGCCCAAGATTACTATCCGAGTGCCGGCGGTGGGGTGGTTCAAATAGCCTCGGCTATCACCTCATTTTGTCCGGTCGTGATGGTCAAGTGGATTAAGGCGTCTTGTACATACCAGTTGCGTTGCTCCTGGGAGTATGGGTTCGAGTCACTTCTGGGGTGTGAGTTTTCAGTTGCATATTGTCCTGGGGACCATTCAGGCTTGTTCGCATTTGTGTTCCTCACGTGTGCCCCAAAGAATGAGGTGATTTGGTAAAATGCTATGCCCAAGATTACTATCCGAGTGCCGGCGGTGGGGTGGTTCAAATAGCCTCGGCTATCACCTCATTTTGTCCGGTCGTGATGGTCAAGTGGATTAAGGCGTCTTGTACATACCAGTTGCGTTGCTCCTGGGAGTATGGGTTCGAGTCACTTCTGGGGTGTGAGTTTTCAGTTGCATATTGTCCTGGGGACCATTCAGGCTTGTTCGCATTTGTGTTCCTCACGTGTGCCCCAAAGAATGAGGTGATTTGGTAAAATGCTATGCCCAAGATTACTATCCGAGTGCCGGCGGTGGGGTGGTTCAAATAGCCTCGGCTATCACCTCATTTTGTCCGGTCGTGATGGTCAAGTGGATTAAGGCGTCTTGTACATACCAGTTGCGTTGCTCCTGGGAGTATGGGTTCGAGTCACTTCTGGGGTGTGAGTTTTCAGTTGCATATTGTCCTGGGGACCATTCAGGCTTGTTCGCATTTGTGTTCCTCACGTGTGCCCCAAAGAATGAGGTGATTTGGTAAAATGCTATGCCCAAGATTACTATCCGAGTGCCGGTGGTGGGGTGGTTCAAATTAGCCTCGGCTATCACCTCATTTTGTCCGGTCGTGATGGTCAAGTGGATTAAGGCGTCTTGTACATACCAGTTGCGTTGCTCCTGGGAGTATGGGTTCGAGTCACTTCTGGGGTGTGAGTTTTCAGTTGCATATTGTCCTGGGGACCATTCAGGCTTGTTCGCATTTGTGTTCCTCACGTGTGCCCCAAAGAATGAGGTGATTTGGTAAAATGCTATGCCCAAGATTACTATCCGAGTGCCGGCGGTGGGGTGGTTCAAATAGCCTCGGCTATCACCTCATTTTGTCCGGTCGTGATGGTCAAGTGGATTAAGGCGTCTTGTACATACCAGTTGCGTTGCTCCTGGGAGTATGGGTTCGAGTCACTTCTGGGGTGTGAGTTTTCAGTTGCATATTGTCCTGGGGACCATTCAGGCTTGTTCGCATTTGTGTTCCTCACGTGTGCCCCAAAGAATGAGGTGATTTGGTAAAATGCTATGCCCAAGATTACTATCCGAGTGCCGGCGGTGGGGTGGTTCAAATAGCCTCGGCTATCACCTCATTTTGTCCGGTCGTGATGGTCAAGTGGATTAAGGCGTCTTGTACATACCAGTTACGTTGCTCCTGGGAGTATGGGTTCGAGTCACTTCTGGGGTGTGAGTTTTCAGTTGCATATTGTCCTGGGGAGCATTCAGGCTTGTTCGCATTTGTGTTCCTCACGTGTGCCCCAAAGAATGAGGTGATTTGGTAAAATGCTATGCCCAAGATTACTATCCGAGTGCCGGCGGTGGGGTGGTTCAAATAGCCTCGGCTATCACCTCATTTTGTCCGGTCGTGATGGTCAAGTGGATTAAGGCGTCTTGTACATACCAGTTGCGTTGCTCCTGGGAGTATGGGTTCGAGTCACTTCTGGGGTGTGAGTTTTCAGTTGCATATTGTCCTGGGGACCATTCAGGCTTGTTCGCATATAAATAAATAAATAAATAAATAAATAAATAAATAAATGACGTCCCTCTCCCCCCCATTCCCAAGACTTTCCAATTTATTTGTCCTAAATACCCCTTTAGGTATTGTATGTACTAGCTCTATCTATAAATCAATCAGAATATTTGTAACTCTGCATCTATGTATGTACTTTTCCTAAATAAAATATTATTATTATTATTATTATTATTATTATTATTATTATTATTATTATTATTATTATTATTATTTTTATTATTATTATTATTCTAAACCCAAACCAACGTCACCGTCCAAACACATTGGAAAAGTAAACAATTGTGGACCAGTCTCAAAACATTTTTGTTGCAATGGCACTTGTTGCATATAGTGACGACAGTGACCTAGGCAGTGACTCTGACGACGGTGAAAAGTGTGTGGAGGGCCCAGCAACTACAGTATGTAAGCCAGAAGTTGAAGTAGTGAACAGTGTGCCCCGGACAGCAGTGGGGGATCAGGACTCCATACAGTCTACAGTGGCGGGTGGTGGCGGACCAGACACTCTCGGGGTCCACGGAATAATTGATGAAGATGAAGAGAGGTTCGGTACTAAACTGCCTGGATTATTAGCGTCGATACCAGCAGCAAAGCCACTTAGGAGTGTGTGGCAGGGACTCTCAATTGGTGAAGAAGTTGATGAGTTGACAGATGTTCCAACCGTAGATACTTGGAAGATCACTCAGGAACTTAAAGGGAAGAGTATAGAGACAGACAAATTCGGGTCCAAGCCTAACAATTCTGCAAAAGATTCTGTATCTAAATCCAAGAAGGAAAGGAGAAAAGTTCAATTTTTTGTGCCTGCTCTCTCCGAGGTAAGTACTCTAGCACTACTTCTTAATAATAATAATAATAATAATGTTTATTCAGGTAAGGTACATACATACAAGAGATTTTACAAAAATTGGTAGATTTTTAGATAGAGCTAGTACATACATTGCCTAAAGCCACTATTACGCAAAGCATTTCGGGCATTTCTTCAATCTCGACCATGCATTTTGCAGTGAGAGTTTACTTGGTATGTTTGTTCTGCACCATAATGGAATCTAACCTAACTGTGAGGGTGTTAACCTATTTATAGGATTCCAGAAATGTGCAACCATGTTGGAACAGACATAGTTGCACATTTTCTAGAGAAAATTGTTTAAAATATTTTAACAAGTTCACAAAAATGTATTATTTGTATGTCACAACATTGTAAATGCTTCACCTACGTACTTCAAATTCAAATAATCACTAACAAAACCTAACCTAACCTACCCCTAACTTTAAATAGAACTTTAATTAATAAATATTAATTTATATAAAAGAACAATCCTGTTTTTATGCACAATTTGCTTAAATTGATATATGTGTTAGGGAAGACCTCTGCAATAATGAGCCTGGCCTGAGGATGGGTTGCTCTAAGTTTGGGCGCTTGTCTTTTCCAACATGGTTGCACATTTCTGGAATACTATACATGGATTAACCCAATGTCAGTTGAGTAAGATTCCAATATGGTGTAGATCATCTGTTAGTACCCCCCAATCAACATGTTTCTCAAGTCAGATTTATTTCCGTTTAGGATGACCCTTTGCTTTCTTTGTTTTAATCCTTGTTTTATCCATTTTAGTATTCTACCATTTATTCCATGTGCCTGTAATTTACTTGCCAGTCTTTCATGTCGTTCCTTATCAAAAGCTTTTGCAAAGTTCATGCATACTACATCTACTGGAAGTTCTTTGTTTGAATAGCTGGTTACCATATCCAAAAATGTGAGTAGGTTTGTAATGCAGGATATATTTTTAACAAAGCCATGTTGAGTTGATTTTACTAATTTTCAAATCGAGATGGTGAATGATTTTCTCCCTTAGAATTCTCTCTATGAGCTTGCAGAGAAAGTATACAAGGTCGTGCTGATCAGATAATAGTTTTCTGCTGAGCTCCTGCCTTTTTTTTTTTTTTTTTAATTTATTTATGGGGCTTGTTTAAGAATGATAATAGTGTCAACTGGGAATACAACTTTGAAGAGTTAGGCTAGGCCCGGCCCCATGAGAATTACCAGATTTTTACTTAATTTACCTGAGGGCCACTAATCCTAGTTGCTTCAATGAAGAAAGGAAGCCAGCAGCTTGTTGAAGGTCCCCCCATTTGCCATGATCTTTTCCAGGTATATTTGGGTACGGCTGTTCTCGTGCTGGGTACGGCTGTGCTCGTGCTGGGTATGGCTGTGCTCGTCCTGGGTACGGCTGTTCTCGTGCTGGGTACGGCTGTTCTCGTGCTGGGTACGGCTGTGCTCGTGCTGGGTATGGCTGTGCTCGTGCTGGGTACGGCTGTTCTCGTGCTGGGTACGGCTGTGCTCGTGCTGGGTATGGCTGTGCTCGTGCTGGGTACGGCTGTTCTCGTGCTGGGTACGGCTGTTCTCGTGCTGGGTACGGCTGTGCTCGTGCTGGGTATGGCTGTGCTCGTGCTGGGTACGGCTGTTCTCGTGCTGGGTACGGCTGTTCTCGTGCTGGGTACGGCTGTTCTCGTGCTGGGTACGGCTGTGCTCGTGCTGGGTACGGCTGTGCTCGTGCTGGGTACGGCTGTTCTCGTGCTGGGTACGGCTGTGCTCGTGCTGGGTACGGCTGTGCTCGTGCTGGGTATGGCTGTGCTCGTGCTGGGTACGGCTGTTCTCGTGCTGGGTACGGCTGTTCTCGTGCTGGGTACGGCTGTTCTCGTGCTGGGTACGGCTGTGCTCGTGCTGGGTATGGCTGTGCTCGTGCTGGGTACGGCTGTGCTCGTGCTGGGTACGGCTGTTCTCGTGCTGGGTACGGCTGTTCTCGTGCTGGGTACGGCTGTGCTCGTGCTGGGTATGGCTGTGCTCGTGCTGGGTACGGCTGTGCTCGTGCTGGGTACGGCTGTTCTCGTGCTGGGTACGGCTGTGCTCGTGCTGGGTACGGCTGTGCTCGTGCTGGGTACGGCTGTGCTCGTGCTGGGTACGGCTGTGCTCGTGCTGGGTACGGCTGTGCTCGTGCTGGGTACGGCTGTGCTCGTGCTGGGTACGGCTGTGCTCGTGCTGGGTACGGCTGTGCTCGTGCTGGGTACGGCTGTGCTCGTGCTGGGTACGGCTGTTCTCGTGCTGGGTACGGCTGTGCTCGTGCTGGGTACGGCTGTGCTCGTGCTGGGTACGGCTGTGCTCGTGCTGGGTACGGCTGTGCTCGTGCTGGGTACGGCTGTGCTCGTGCTGGGTACGGCTGTGCTCGTGCTGGGTACGGCTGTGCTCGTGCTGGTTGATTTTCTGCTACTAGTTTTTGCAAACTATTGCTTCATTATTGGTATTAATAAGGCACTATTAGTAAGCCCCTGAGACATTTTGTTTTATAACCAAAGAGCTGTAGTAAAAAAATGGTCACTTCCACAATTATTCTTCCACCGGCGGATAAATACTGTACGTCAATCACAGACAAAGCTTAGGGCACTGGGTGTGTACGAATAAGCCAGATTCAGTAACATAAATTTCTCTTAAATATTCGATTTACATCAAATTATATATTTTTGGGTTATATATTTAGTTTAGCAACATTATTACGATAATAAGAGCTATAAAAAATACTTATTTTGGAACTGATTTATTAATTTTATTATTTCGAAGCCGTAGGTCACTGAACTGTGGCGACGAAATCGAACAGAACACGCCTGATATTGTGTTCCATTTCCAGTAACATAAATTTCTCTCAAATATTCAATTTACATCAAATTATATATTTTTAAGTTACATATTTAGTTTAGCAACATTATTACAGTAATAAGAGCTATACAAAATACTTACTTTGGAACTGATTTATTAATTTTATTTCAAAGCCGTAGATCACTGAACTGTGGCGATGAAATCAAACAAAACAAGCATGGTGTTGTGTGGACAGGGATTAGACTCGTCCACTTGTGCTGGAGTTGTGCTGCCTATAACGTGAATAATTTCTCAAATAGCAGATATCTATCATATTACAGTATATTTTTGGTTTTATTTAGTTTAATTTAATTAGAATAATAAAAAGTTATTAAAACACCAGTTTTAGAAATGATTTATTAATGTGAAACGTTCAAAGCCATGGGTCACTGAACTATGACAACACAGACGAAAGTGAGTGAAACCTCACTATAAAGTGAGGTTTACTGTACAGTATTCCCTTATCTGTCCACCCTCACTCATCTTGTTTCATCACAGAAAATGTATATAAAAAGATTTCAACACATTTAGCTAGCTATTCACGCTTCAGCCTTTAAATTAATTTACAATGATACGTGTGCCACAAATCGGTGAATGAAAATCATTGAAACTCAGTCGTTCACTTGTGTGGACGACTCTGGCTAGTGTTTGGTTAATGTGTGTCACTTGTTGTGTGGTCCACTTGTGTGATCCAACTTGTCTTATGAAGGAATTATTAATTGTAATCTGTGATAGAATGAGAGTTTTCCACCAACTCTGTCCCAACATCGTAAGCTTGTGGACCGCTTGTGGTCCACTTGTGTGGTCCACTTGTGTGGTTCAACTTGTTATATGAAGGAATTATTAATTGTAATCTGTGATGGTATGGGAAAGTATTCCACCACTCTGTGAACTTTGTCCCAACATCGTAAGCTTGTGGACCACTTGTGGACCACTTGTGCGGTCCGCTTGTGTGGTCCACTCGTGTGATCGAACTTGGCATATGAAGGAATTAATAATTGTAATCTTGATAGAATGGGAAAGTTTTCCACCAGTCTGTGAACTCTGTCTCGACGTTGTAAGCAAATCCGAACATCCCCCACTTCGTCGAACCATTGTTCGTCGAACCGGGTGAGTAAATCCGGCCTGAAAAGTGTGCAAACTAGCCGGAGATTCGTTGAATTGGGGTACGTTGAATCGAGGTTGTACTGTATATAGATTTAGTTCTGCCTGAGTAAAGGATTTTGACTTCTCCCTCTGTCTGCAATCTGAATAACCTGTCCTCTCCTGATCTTTAGCTGTGCATTTTTGTATAATTCTGTGTTTTAACTCCTTTAGTTTTCCTCTTAGCACTCTGTCATTTTTTGCTGTTGTATTGTGAAGTCTGGAAATGTATATACTTGGTTATACCCCTCGAGATCTTTGAGTTTATGGGCATGAACTAGTATCTTCCTTCTGTGCTCAAAAATTTGCAATGGTTATTCTCACCATATTTGCTTCCATCCTACCCAACCTCCTGACATCTGATATACTTATTCCACCTTGCCTATTACTGTAGTTTCTCTTAACATTGCCTCAGTGAGTTCCTGTCATTCTTGTCGTCGTCTTTCGCAATGTTTCTTATGAGGTTGTTTTCTGGGGGTACCCCCTACCCCCTTTTTGGTACCCCCTGTTTTCTGGGGGTACCAATTCCCGCCCCGGAGATATCCATGCTGATAGGGATAGTCCTAACTTTTGGCATCAGTCGATGTGGATGGAGTTCTAGGCCTACCGGGGACCACGGCCAGAACCTGACCCCTTCAGAGAGGCACGAGGAGCAACGGCCTATAGAAATGCACATGTGATTTTGCAGTATTCTATACCTGCCATCGACCCGGACAGGCACCCAGAAAGTTAAGTGCCCCAAAACAAACCCCTATTCTGGTGAAACCAACAAAAATAACCAAACAAGTGGACAGAACTCCCCCAAATGAAAACGAGCAAACGAGCATGACATAACACGAGTCCCGTCACATATCTGCGCAGCTTCTCACTCCCCCCCCCCCCCGTGCCGCTGATCCACACCCCAGTTCATCAGCCAATGGGATACAGTTTGGTCGTTGTGGCTCCAGCTCCAGACTTTTGTTGTGCTGTCCTCTGTTCAGTACT